ATTCTAAATATTTAAATACAATCCTTCCAGGTTGTATCTTGGGTATATGTTATTTTTCTCTCCTTTCAAGAGTAATTTCTTCTTGAAAAATGCTTTTTATTGGGTATTGGTTATTATGAGGGGATCATTGTTGATTTTGTTAGATGTGCAACAATATTGTGGTTATGTGGCAAAATATCCTTGTTTTTTAGAGATATATAATAAAGTATTTAGGGGTTAAATGTCATGATTATTGTAATTTTCTTTAAAATTCTGTATCATAAGAATAATATAAGGTAAAATAGAAGCCATTGTTACATCTAATCAGTGGATATTTGTGTATTCATTACACCATTCTCCATACTGTATGTTTGTAATTTCCATAATAAAGAGACAAAAAAAAATGACTTTCAATAAAAATGAAAAAAATATGAATGAGACTTGTGGACTCCTGACTTCCTGAAAATGGGAGGGGATTTTTTTTCTTACAGACTAATTTTGGAGGATTCTTTGTATTCTTTCCAGTCATTTTTAACTTATTTCTTAAAATGTGTATTCATATAGCTATAAAGCATGGAATGCTCTATTGCACAGTAAAGCTTTTTTTTTAGTAGTTTGGTACATTTTTAACCATTAAATAAGTATCCCTAAAATTTAGACCAAGGTTTATATCACTAAAGATTTTCATAAAATCTGAAACAAAGTTTCAGATGATGAAGTGTGCCTAATAATAGAAGGCTTAGATCCCAGTCATTTATCTTCTGATCACATACAGAAAATTTGTTTCAAAGATTTAATATATACACATTATATGCACTTGGTATTAAAATTTCCTGGTAGTCTTAAATTTGATTAAAACCCCAAAATGTGTATAAATGTGTATGAAAATATTAATCACTGATAATTACTTTTCTTCTTTGGGGTAAGAATAGGAACTAAGTTAACCATGTCATTGCTTGAGTAAAACACTCTGCTTTGCATTTCTCCTGATTACTACTGTGTAATATCTCAAACAGGGAACTTAACTGCTTAAAAAGGAATTCTTTTAAATTTCATTGAAATACATATTCATTCGTTGAACTGTGTATGTACCTACATATCCAACTTGGTATTGCCTGATAAAGTCATATAGCAGCCAGAAAACTAGTTTTGAGATCCTCAAGGTAAAGAAAGAAAACAGTCCCAAGTATCTTCATGAAGAAGGATGACATTCTTATAGTTTCTTATTTAATAGTTTCTAAGCATTTAATGTAAAACCAGGAAAAGGGATAAATATTACAGAAAGTGCCGTGTGGAAATGAAACCCATGGTATTCTTTAGGTGCCATAGATATTATTCTCTAATAAATTTTTTAAATGTATGAGAAAATACAGTAATATTAACTACTAATTAATACTCAATGTTAAGGATTTTAAACCTGATAGGTTGATGTCATTTAAAAGAGACTGAAAATTTGGAGGCAAAGAGTTAATGATGAAAATAATGGGGGTTTTTTTGTATTCTTTTTGGTGATAGCTCTTCTGACAGGTGTGAGGTGATGTCTCGTTTCCCTGATGATTAGTGATGTTGAGCATCTTTTTTTCCTTTTTTTAATGTTTATTTATTTATTTATTTATTTTGGCAGTGCCCGGTCTTAGCACACAGGATCTTTAGTTGCAGCATGCGGACTTCTTAGTTGCATCGTGTGGGCTTATTGCGGTATGCATGTGGGATCTAGTTCCCCGACCAGAGATGGAACCCAGGCCCCCTGCATTGGGAGCATGGAGTCTTACCCAGTGGACCACCAGGGAAGTCCCTGAAAACAGTGTTTATGATGAATTATCATGTCAGTGTGTGCAGGAAGAGTCTGGGGGGAAAGTCTGAAGTGAATCGGTATGTCTCCTAGGTATCATAAGACAAGCAACGTAAACAGTTCAGTTAAGCAACATTTATTTCTTTAGAGCCCATAATATTAGGCAATATATTATGTGCTTTACCTTAATTTCCTCATTTAAGTATAGAGTTGCTAGGATGAGATACATCAGGGGAATTCCACAGTATCTTTATTTCAGCAGAAGAATTTGACACTTTCTCACCAGTCATGTAACTATGATGACGAAATACGGGATAAATGTGAATCCTTTAAGGTACAGTCACAAGTGGCCCAGTTTAAGGCATACTGAGAATGGCTCTGACCAACTAAGTGAGTCTTCCAGGGCCAAGCGGTTAGGCCCTCTTCTTGGCTTGGTTTCTTCAACATTCTTATTGAAGGCTATAATGAACCCCAAAGTCTTGCTTATCAAATCAGTAGATGATGTGAAGCAAGATAATTTATTTCAGGAGATGGTAATGAGGGTTAAAATCTGGGAAAAAGCCAAGGCATAATTTGGAAATAAATATAAGGACCTGCAATTAGATTAAAAAAAAATCAACTGCACTTGGCATGACTGGGTTAATATGTAAAAAATCTATGACTTTTTAATGCTTACTTTGAATCAAACTGATGATAAAATTACTTTAAAAATGTCATCTTGGGATGCATTAATAAAAGTATTCTGTCTGATTTGGGGAGATAATAGCCTCACTGGACTCTTATAAACTAATCCATGCTCATTTTAGAAGAATTAAGATGCGCAAAACCAAAAAACCCTACAATCCCTCCACTCAGATAATATATATACACACACGATGCATGTACTTTGTATAGATTTTGTAGCTGTCTTCTTTTTTGCTGAAATGTTCTTGGTGGCAGCAGAAGTGTGTATCTATGTCCTTCAATTCTTAGATTCTGCTGAATATTAAAAGGTCTTCTCTTGGCAGAGAGTCCCACTTAGACCTTCAGAGCCAGAAGGGCAGTTTCATTGGCACACCCTGGAACCTTGTTAGAACTATTAAGTGGGGCAGACCAACTGAATCAGAAAGCCTGGGGCTGGGGCCTAGCGATCCTGCGGTTCAACAAGCCCTGCAGGTGATTCCAATCCACTCAGAAGTTTAAGAACTGACCTGAGTTTAACCCTTTGATTTTTCAGATAAGGAAGCTAAGATCCAAAGAAGTCACATGTTAATTTGAGAAAGTGCATACTAGAATCTTCACGCAGTGATACCTAGGATGAAGAATCATCCCTCTGGGGAGAACTGTTTATTGGGCTAATTGCTAAGCAGTATTTGAAAGAACGCTAGGTGGAAACAAGTAATGGGGGAAGAGTCTGTTTAGCATTTAACTTACCCTGGTAGACTTAACACAGTTCCAACAGTAGCCTTTGATTCATTGAACTTTAGTCCCAAAGAAAAGTTTGCTTGATCTAATATGTTAATCGCTGAAGCATGTTTATGGGCCATTTAAGTAACTACTCCATTCCATCACTAAAGCTAATGAATCTCGAGTGTGACCTTGCAGCTTTCATTTTAAAGAGCTCTTCACACTTAAGTTTGAGAACCACTAATACAGAAGATGTTTAAAGTGGTTAAGAATAAAACTAGCTGGGGGATTCCCTGCTGGCGCAGTGGTTGAGAGTCCGCCTGCCGATGCAGGGGACACGGGTTCGCGTCCCGGTGCGGGAAGATCCCACATGCCGCGGAGCGGCTGGGCCCGTGAGCCATGGCCGCTGAGCCTGCGCGTCCGGAGCCTGTGCTCCGCAATGGGAGGGGCCGCAACAGTGAGAGGCCCGCGTATCGCAAAAAAAAAGAATGAAACTAGCTGGACTGGAACAACATTTTCAGTATCCTTTAATTTGGGTTCCACAGAGAAAACTCAACACAATTTGCTAATGTGCATATAATAAAGCCAATATAACATCATCAGAGATTGCTCCAGAAATGTGTAATGGTAAGGCATTAAAGTGATTTTTTGAGAAAGTATAATATAGTTTCCTCATAATCTGGGAAGAAAAAAAAAGGGGGTGGGAAATCACTGTAGGAGGGCCAAGAGATCACAAATACAAGAGTTGAAATAATGAATCTTGCTCTAAACTGCAAATGTAGTCAACCTTGACTTTCCACAGTACAAATAAAGGTCATGGACTTTATAATATCTCAGCAGTTGTCAGGAATTTTAGTTTTTTAAGATTACATTGTGTGGAGTAGTCAGATTTAGGAAAAAAAGATATAGTATCTAAGGAATAACAGAATAATAACTGCAAGATCAAAATGATCTACCTTGAATTTTTGTGTCATTTATCGTTTCCCGAGGTGCTTTAAACTTTTATTTTATCCATGTAACAGCCCTGTGAGGAATCAAAGTACCAGCAAAACCGTTTTCGAAACTTTAAACACGGAATAGATGAAGAAAAAAGTGAAGTTGACAGACTCAGAGAAATGACAGAAAAGGTGGTCACTGAGGAAGCTTAGCAAAGAGAGGGGCAAGCGCAAAAAGCTGAAGTCCGGAGGATGGTCAAAGGAGAACAGAACAGAGGCTAACCTGGCAGGGGGAAACGGTGTCAATGGGCAAACAGGTGCAAAAAAGGCGAAGGAGAGGAAATTAGGGATTAGGAAATTGAAATTTACTTATCTGTACCAGAGAGGATGGATGAAGTCAAAGATGAAGTGAAAAATGAAAAGTGGGGCGGCACTTAAAGCTGCATGAAAGTTTAGTGGGCTGATGTTATCCCTCAGGCCCATGACCATGGGGTTGGGCCCCAGGTTGAGGATAACGCCGAGGGGAGTCGCTGAAGACGCTGGCCAAAAGACAGCGGAGCCGGGTGGGCGTTCAGGCCAGACTAATAAAGACAGCCCGGGGCGCTTCTCCAGCCACGCAACCTGCGGGGGCCGAAGGGTTAACCGCGCGCGCTACTCCCGCGCGCATCCCGGCCCCCACTCCCGCGGTCGCTAGGAGACGCCGGAAGTGGGGGAGGGGCGGGGCGGCGCGACCAAGGGTGGGAATCTTTTTCAGGCTCCCGAAGGCGGAGGGAGGCGAGCGCGCGTGCGCGCGCCGTGCCGGCCGTCGCCGCGGTGACCGTCCTCAGAGTCCGTCGGCTCGCGCCCCGCCCCCGTTCCTGCTGCCCCCTCCCCTGTCGCTGGCGGGGAGTGTTTCTCTCTCCTCCCGGTTGCTGCAGCCGTCGCCGCCGCTCCTCCTCTGCCAGTCTTGGGTTTCCCTGGCGCTACTGCCGCCACTGCCTCTGCGGTCTGTATGAGGAGGAGGAGGATGTGAAGATGGCGGAGCTGCAGATGCTGCTGGAGGAGGAAATCCCGGGGGGCCGGCGGGCCCTCTTCGACAGTTACACGAATCTGGAACGGGTGGCCGATTACTGCGAGAACAACTACATCCAGGTGCGACGCATCTCTCGGCCTGGGCGCGTCGGGCCTCGGGGTGGTGAGGGCGCGTGGGGGACCCCCGGCCGGAGGCCGCGCGCCTGGGGGCGTAGGGCGCGTGGGGTCGAGGCTGCGGCGGGGATACAGTCCAGCTGACCCCCATGTCGCGGGGGGAGGAGCATGGTGGGAGCTGGGGTTGGGGAATGGGTGAGAATTCTCCGGTTGGAGGAAATTGTAGCTTTAAAACATTTTAAAAAGCCATGAATCAGCCCTCGGTGCGGGTGTGTGGTGTGTGTGTGTGGTGTGTGTGTGGTGTGTGTATGTGGTGTGTGTGGTGTGTGTGTGTGGTGTGTGTGTGTGTGGTGTGGTGTGTGTGTGTGTGTGTGTGTGGTGTCCCCCGCCTCTTCGCTTCTTCCCTCGGCCGCCTCCGCACTCGGTGCCAGTCAATTTTCGGGATGGCGGAGGAGGCGGAGAGTGGCATTTTGTATTTGACAGAATCTTGCTCCCCCATATGGCAAGGGTGTGGGGGGAATTGATGGGTCACCCCCATCCCCCAAGCTCTGGAGGATTTTTAAGGGGTTATATTGCTGCAAAGTAAACTGTCTCAGCTTTCTATTCATTTGAATGCATCAAAAGATCGGTTTTTGTTTTTTTGCTTGTTTTTAGGTTCTAACTGGGGATACAGTATAAGAGTAGCTGTCCCTTGTTGGAAGTTAATGCCATTTTTCTCCCTATAGAGAATGAGAAGCTGCATGATAATGAACTCTTCCGTCCCGCCACCTCCCTTCAATCCCATTAGAATAGGTAATTTGTCTTTGGGGAAAAATTTGGGGATTATTTTTCAGAGAGAATTAGGAAATGATCCTCATGGTTTAGTTTTTCCTGTGATTGGTTTGGCACAGGGACTCAGTGGTAGCGCTGTATGTATGTGTATGGAGGTGGGGGATATTGGGTGAGATGAAATCCAGCTGCTCCTGGAAGAAGCAAAAGACTCTGTGGATTAAAAAAAAAATTCCTCTTTAAAAATTATATGAAAGGATAGTTTAAAACGCACAGTTTGCAAAGTCAGTATCTTTTGTTTTCTTTATAGCTTATTCTGAATCACAGGTTCTACCTCCATTTTTTCTCTTCCCATTTAAATTCTCTTGGGATGAAGGTGGAAATGGAAGAAATACGTTAAATTGTTCCTTCACTATGGTCTTTTTTTCCTGTTCCCACCTCCATCTCTCCAGGCATCCTTCTTAACATCGGCTGTATTGGGAAGCATTCTCAAGTCTTGGTTTAAACCAAAAAAAATAGGTGTTAAAATTTACAGGTTCATAAATTTTGTAAGGACCACATGGTTGATCAAGGATAGTATTGTGAGATTTTGCTTAATTAGACATATCCTGAACTCTGTATTTTCTTGTTGGGAATATTTGTATTAGAGAATAAATCAGACATAACCCAAGGCTTTTCCCTCCAAAGAGGCAGTTGAAAGTATGGCTAGTAGGCAAAGAAAGAATGTGACTTGGGTCAAAGATTCATACAATTGTCCATATTCATCAGGTGCTTTGCTGATACTGAGTGTGATAGGAGAGATTCAAAGGTTAAAATGCTCAATTTTTCACTAAATACATTTGAAAGTCTTCTGTAGCCTGGCACTGTGTCAAGTGTTGATGATTCATACCTAGTGTCCACAGAATCTTATAGTGTAGTTAGTAGGAGAGGCTGATCTGTGAGCAAATGAATACCATGTAGTGTGTCAGTTTATACTCTTAATGGGCTGCAGGTGGGAAGAAGCTGTCCTCACTGGGAATTCACAGTCTCTAGGAGAGGCAAATTAAAAGGACTGAAGTTGTTATTACAATCCCTTGTGCAACATATTATGAGAAAGAGTTACAGGTCAGAAGAGAAATTGAGGGTGGAAAACTGATTGGGTTGCGGTTATCACCACTAAATTTAAAAAAAAAAGAAAGAAACAGATTTCTCTCTCTTTGGAAGATAATTTTTATTGTAATTTGAAGGTATAGTTCCTCTTATATTACAGTTGTTACATAAAGGTAAAAAGTACCTGAATTAATAAAGCTGAGAGAGTAAAGGGATCAACAACTGTCATCTTTTTATATATTTTATACATTTATTCCAGTTCAAGAGAGAAGAATGTTACTGCCGTCATTTGTCTTAGCAATGGGACTCAGAATTTAATGGGGTGGTATTTTAAAATTCAAAGTATAAATACTGGTTAACAGAAATGGACTTGGGTTTTAAAATATCTTATTTCTTCAACTTAGCATCTAAAATAAACTTCACACTTTTACCTCTTAGATTATCATCTGTGTTAAGATCCAGTGGGTATATTGTTGGGGATCTCTCCGCAGATGACAACTCTTACATGATTTGTTTGTGGTAAAGTTGATAAATAGAAGATGGTGATAGTGGATTTGTGCTGACCCAGCTGCTCATTTGCCTGGCTTTTCTTGGTGACCAGCAAACTGACCAGCAGGAGTTTCGATGCTGCCTGTGACCCTGCGATAGATGAAAGTCATTTGGTGGGATCGGTGATCAAATGGTCAATTTAGCCTTATTATAGCATCATGTCCTAACCATTAGCTCAAGTTAAGTCACCTAACACTCATTTTATTTTGTGGAAATAAAATTTTTGCCTGTAAAGCAGAAAAAAGGCAAATCTACTGATCATAAGTAACAAATGATAAGGTTCTTTGTTCAGTGTCCTTAAATAGCTGGTTTTATGCATTGGAATATAAAAAAATAAGGTAAATAAGAATATTCTAAATGTGGATTATATTTAGTGTGAAGATTGAGCAAAGGAAGGAAAATGGTGTGCTGTCCTTCTGAAAACATACTGTGTTTAAATTATTTCTATCATGAAAATGTCCTTCAGAAATGTTATCTATTGGCATTAGGAGTGATCAGATATTACCTGTATTAACACACACACACAATCTACAGGTACAGCAGATTTGTAAGTAATAGTTTTCCAGGTTAATAATGCAGTTAACATTAGAAATTTAAAAATCATCTTTAGTAAAAAGTTAGATGATTCTGTTTTAGTTCAACCTCTAGAAAAAGTGATAGTCAAAATATTTTTTCTAAAATGTGATGATAAAAAGTGATAACTACAGTTTCCTGTTTCCCCGATTGATTTTCTTTCCTGTAAAAAGGATTAAAGTTATTGTTAAGGACTTTTTGGAGATAAAAGTAAGACCTGCGTTTTTTTTTTTTCTTCATTTATAAATATAAACATTGATTCCTAATCTAGGAAGTGTCCAGAAACTTTAAAACATTTTTGATTAACTTGGAATCTACATATTTACAAATGGAGAATTTTATAATAACATGGGTTGCTTTAATGCTTTGGTGGATGAAACAAGATTATATTTGTTACTTTCCTAAAGTAAGTCTGAAAAACCAACTTGTTCATATTTATATTTTTCCTTTTCTTAGATAAAAGAGAGTTATTCCTTTTTGTGAGTGTTAATTCACATAGATACATAGTAAAATCCCATTGTCCACTGTTTGGATTAAGAACAAAGTCATCCAGTAAAATGGCTTTGCTCAGAAGAACAGAAATTAAGAATTTACCTTAATGTTTTGATAAATGCTGGAGAGGGTGTAGAGAAGAGGGAACCCTCTTGCACTGCTGGTGGGAATGTAAATTGATACAGCCACTATGGAGAACAGTATGGAGGGTCCTTAAAAAACTAAAAATAGAACTACCATACGACCCAGCAGTCCCACTACTGGGCATATACCCCGAGGAAACCATAATTCAAAAAGAGTCAGGTACCAAAATGTTCATTGCAGCTCTATTTACAATAGCCAGGACATGGAAGCAACCTAAGTGTCCGTTGACAGATGAATGGATAAAGAAGGTGTGGCACGTATATACAATGGAATATTACTCAGCCATAAAAAAAATGAAATTGAGTTATTTGTAGTGAGGTGGATGGACCTAGAGTCTGTCATACAGAGTGAAGTGAAGTAAGTCAGAGAAAAACAAATACCGAATGCTAACACATAATATATGGAATCTAAAAAAAAAAAAAGGTTCTGAAGAACCTAGGGGCAGGACAGGAATAAAGACGCAGACATAGAGAATGGACTTGAGGACATGGGGAGGGGGAAGGGTAAGCTAGCACGAAGTGAGAGAGTGGCATGGACATATATACACCACCAAATGTAAAACAGATAGCTAGTAGGAAGCAGCTGCATAGCACGGGGAGATCACCTCGGTTCTTTGACTATCTAGAGGGGCGGGATAGGGAGGGTGGGAGGGAGATGCAAGAGGGAGGGGATATGGGAGTATATGTATACGTATAGCTGATTCACTTTGTTATACAGCAGAAACTAACACAACATTGTAAAGCAATTATACTCCAATAAAGATGTTAAAAAAAAAAGAATTTACCTTAATGTTTTATCTGAAATCTTTCTTTTGAATAATAGGAAAGATATCATTAATAGCTTTCCTTTTTTCTCCTTATCAGCAAGGAGACTCTCAGAATTCATTAAAAATTGCAAGAAGGGTTTATAAGGGCATAACAGAATCATGGCATACTAGTCAGTTTCATTAAAAAGTAGTTACTAAAATGATATAAAGATTGCACATTCCTAATAAAAACCATTAAAATGCATGCTCATTGTTGAAAAATTGTTAGAAAATACAAATAAATATTAAGGAACAAACTTAAAATTGCCTAATCATTTTGAATATACATCTGGTATTTATACTTTTAAATCTTTTTGACATGTACATCTACATATCATATGTTTTAAAAATATTATGTTCATGTTCTATATTACCTTTATACCTTGCTTTAAAAAGAGACTTTTAATGGTGGTAGTCTTTGCTTTTTATGAATGGTCATAGAGTATACAGAAAGGAGGTTTGTATTTATGTGTTTAACTTCTTTTTGTTCTCACAAATAAAATAATGTTAAAAGTACCTAGAATGAAGAAGGAGAAAGTAGAAATTTGAGGACTGATGTTTGAATCCTTCCCTGTAACTTTTGTCT